AGTATTCGATTTGGTATTAATAATTATAATAAACTAGTGGAGTAATTAAATTAGATAAGTTTAACACACACCTAATATATTATAACGTATTTTATCTTTAGCAATAAGCGATGGACTGACTGCGTATATAAAATATCTTTCCATCCCTTGTAAGATGAACACCAATTGGAACCTGCAAACAAAATTTGTTAATTGGTTTACTTAAAGAAATATTATTTGCGTTGATGAACGTTATCGCTTAGAATGACTTATACTATCTGTTACAATTGGGTAATAAATAACGTGACCATACATGAGCTTTTGAGCGGAACAGTTCCGCTTTTAAGCTTCGTGTCCCGTTGTCCCTAAAATACTTAAACAGTGTGAACAAAAATATATATAGCCAGCCCATCAGGCTGCAAGATTAGTTCTTTTTTTAGTTTTTTTTAATCAGTAAACATTTCGTAACTATCATAAACATGTGTTTTACTTTTAAAACAATAATAAATTAACAGGCGTCACTCTGTGCGATAAAAACACGTCACGTTAGGAATCTATTATTCACTCAGCTTGGTCGATATCAAGTGCCATAAATGCTCATATCTTTCGTTAAAATGAGAAAGTATTTGTAAAAACATCCTTCAGTTTGTTTTTCAATGTCGAGTACATTATATATATAATCAATTTACCAGATCCGCCACGCTCTAGAGTCGTAATTGAGAAAGAAGGCGTCATGGTTCGATAATATTACTCTGTAACCCTTATCCAATAAACCTTTGAGCATTTCGTTTTCTGACTTAGTCCACACTCGACATAAAATGACAGTGAAAAACTTTTCATTAAAAATTATAAGAAACTTTTCATTAAATATGATGAGAAACTTTTCATTATAGACGACGAAAAACTTTTCTTTAAAAGAAAAAGTTTCTTTGTCATATGCCTACATTTATACCTACGAATTTTGACAGGTTATTTGAAATGGTTAATTATTCAATAATTTATCGAACATGTTTACAATTTTAACTGCCTCCGTAACCGAACGGCTACCATGCTATGCTGGTCTGTCACACAGAGAATCCGAGTTCCATACCAGACCAGGCCAGACTAGGAGAAATATTTGTATGGTTTATACATTAGTCAATGGGTTTATACATATATTTATTTCCCTTGTGAGTTTGGGTGTAATTTGTGGTTGTCTATATGTGTATCCATGGCACTCGCAATACATGGTTTCCCCTAGTGCGGGGCTATGAGAGTGTACGTTATTATTATTATTTTTTAATTCATTTCAATTGGTGCCTATACACAAATAAGAAATTGATTTTCATTTTTTTTTATACAATTATTAATTAGATGATTATCACTAATATCAGGTTTCTAACCCGTTGAGTTGAGTCAACCCGTGACCATGGAGCGTGCAACCGTTCCGAAATATCGGGAAAATAAAAAGAAGTCATACCGTGGTAAGAAACCTGATATTAGTGATAATCATTTAGTGAATAACCACGAAAGTCTTAAAATTATTAGTTAGTACATTTAGGGTGCCCACCGATATTACATATTTCCTAGAAAAACATCCGATTATTCAGATAAAGAACGTCACTTCAGTTATAGAGCGTATCCTTGTTGTATTTATCGGCACTAGCGAACGATTTTTTTAAATTTATTTCATGACTTTGGATTTGCAAAAAAAATGTTTAAGTAACGTCAAACTATACTTGCAAAAATGAAATTATAATGATCTTATAAAAAAATCGGCAGAGTTGTTCCGTTAGTAAATGGAAAATTTAACCAGGCTATCAGTTGATTTTTTGCATCGAGTATATAACCAGAAATAGAGACAAAACGTCATTTAATTAGTTTGAAAACTATTCTGCCATACCATTACTGTGACAACTGCGCTCCGACTGGCCAGCCCGAATCCGAAACAATTAACGGGTGTCGTCAATTGTTTCACTTCAAATCGACCAGTTAACTTGAGCTTCGTTATAATGGACGAAAATTGCAAAATTACATATTTAATATTTAATTACCGATGAAATTTGATTCCGTTCGTTTACAATTAGATATTTTGCTGTTTTCCCCACACTACCGAATGGAACATCCTGCCATAGTTTAAGATATTATCTTTATTACAATAAATACAAAATATTTTTGGAATATACGGAGACGTACACACAGGTCCGTTGTTGGTGTAATCTCTATTTCAGTGCAAACGAGAGTTGATATATAAATAAGTGATGTAACACTGATCATCAATCAATTTGTTTTTACCTGTTACATAGGGCGCACTATAAGTTTCCGGAACTGGCTACTTACATAAACAATATTTAAAAAGTAATTGCAACATTTGAAAATGGAACTCTTTGACTGTAGAACACAGTTTGTTTAATCTAATTGTCACTTGTTTTTACGTTGTGGCGTCATTTTAGAAATTGGTTGTCTACATCAGCATGGATTTAACTCGTGAAAATTTTCGTAGTATGATTTTCTACGACTTTAAGTGTAATTTAACAATTCAGCGGAGCTTCGCTCAGCTTCAAACTGGAGCGATGAAGCACCATGCAAGACCACTATTTATAGCTGGTTTGCAGAATTCAAACGCGGTCGTGTGAATCTCAGTGACGAATTTCGTGATGGTCGCCCGTCCACTGCTGTGAACAACAAAAATATGCGCGTATGTGCGCTGTATGTTCAAAACAGACAGACATGTGACATACCATGAGATTCGGGTATATTTAGGCCTAGGTATGAGTCAAATACAATCAATACTACACAAACATTTGGGTGTGAAAAAGCTGTGCTCTCGGTGGATCCCACACAATTTGTATGAGACTCAAAAAACGGATCGCATCACTTGGTGTAGTGCCATGCTTACCAGATTCAACGACGGCCCGTAAAATTTGGTGTGGAACATAGGGACAGGTGAGGAAACATGGATTTATAGTTACGATCCCAAAACAAAACAGCAGTCAAGCATATGGGTCTTTCAAGATGAGCCGAAACCAACCAAAGTGGCGCGCTTGCAAAGTGTCTCTAAGCGGATGATTGCTTCTTTTTTTAATAAAACTGGACACGTGGCTACCGTTACTTTGGAGGATCATTGTACCGTGAATAGTGATTGGTACACGACCATTTGTTTGCCGAAAGTTATTGACAAACGTACGTAAAAATAACCGTAAACGCCGTATCATCTTGCACCACGATAATGCTAGTTCTCACACGGACAGACAGTTTTGAAGGTGAACAACATTGACCTTATGAGCCATCCCGCGCACAGTTCCGACCTGGCCCGTTGTGACTTTTATTTGTTTCCAAAACTTAAGAACCAGTTACGCGGTCAACGATTTTCATCACCTGAATAGGGTGTCGAAGAGGATGAAAAATGTGTTTCAGAGATTGTCACGGAGGAGTGGCATAAATGTTTTTAAAATTGGTTCATTCGTATGAAAAAATGCATTAACGCTGCCGGAGAATATTTTAAAAAACAATGAATTCATTTCTGACCATTTATAGTATTTTTTTCTTATTCATTCCTGAAACTTATAGTGCGCCTCATGTATTTCCAGAAAATCGTTAGGGATTTTTAAAACTAAGTAACGTAAAACGGAACGCAATCCCATAAAACGGAACGGATTTTTCTGATATCAATGTCGTTTTTGTTGCAATAAATCAATAATTACAGAATCCACTTTTTATTCTCTCAGTGAATTCTGTCGAAATTTACCGGTCAATTTTTGAGTAAAAACGCAGGTGTTCCTCAACTTGACTTTGGCGATAAAATCGATTACTTCGATGGGGTCATAACATTTGGAAAAAGAAGGAGTATTAATTTAGCGATTAAGTGTTGCTGCTTTTTAGACTTTTTTAGTTTCGCAGTGTTGCTAGTAATTAATATAACATCCACCACACTTTTATTTTAAATCAATTTAAAAATGCAGGTCACAAATTTTTTTATTATTATTATTCTAAGCTCTGTAATTCAATCTTGTATATAACCAAAAATTTGAGGCTGGTTAAATTTTTCTACTAATTCGGTACAAGTATTTTCGTAAAACCCGACCATTTCCGAAACTTTAACCTACGAACGCGTTTAATTCTATGTATATACCATGTACCTATGTATTAATGTAAGCGTTATAATTGTTTGGTATAAATAAAAAAAACTATTGCAAAAATAGTAAAATAGTAAGTTTAAATGCCATTTAAATTAATGTACATACTACATTCATTTAAATTTTGTACTTTAAACTTTGAATATTCATTCCGGATTTTTTAAATTGAAATTTCGTACGTAAATGAATATGCAATACAATTTAAAATTGATTCTCAATTAAATTTTCAATGTTCTTTTTTACGCTTTTTAATTTTTAGTATTACCTATTGTATTTGTTTTAATTATAAGAGCAGTCATAAAATAAAATTCTTATACAATAAGGTACCTGAGTCGAATATGGCCAGCCGATTAATATGGCCACATACCAATTACTTTAAAAACGTATAGCGTACGGACAACGGCATATCAGACTACAGATTTTTGTTCGAAATTCGCCTGCAGTGCAACGGAACAAGATACGTCAATGTGTAGCTTGATGTGCTGGCGTGAGAAAATCGAACAAGCTCGGATATGTTCGGTTACGCGGTTCGCATAACAGCTACCCTCACGCCACCCCTCCCGCGCATACGCCTTTCGCCCAGAAATATCAAAGTCGGAGGACGCATCGCCGCCATATAAGTTTTAAGTAAGTTTTGACTAAAATTTTTGTTTATATCCATTTTATTGTTGTTTGCATTTGTCTTTCATTGCTGGTGTAGTAAAAGTAGATGACATTTCCGTGTGATTTTCTTCCAATGTTTGTTTAGTTTCAAAGTGTGAGTGAAAGAAAAAAAGGCATATCTGGTAATATGGCCAATGACTGGCCATATTTACCTGCACCTGATATTGGCCAAATTTACCTTACGATTTTTGGAACCTAGCATAATGTTGTTTTTAACAACTAGAGAGGGATGATACAAGTTTGAGGCTAATATGTATCTGTGTACTTAAATCTGAGGTAGCTCTGTAGTAAGGGATGATCCGATGCCAGTGCAGTTTGATTTACGTGAAAGCGATAGTTTTGTAAAAATTTGTGCAAATGTTCGTGTTTTTACATACCTAACGAATTAAATTAGCGTACATTTTAATTCGTTCGGTATTCATTTTATTCACTTTCCATAAAATTGTATGCTATTCAAATAATTACATAATTTTAAATTATAGAAGAGTAAATTGTTCCATCATATTTACATACAGCGTGATAAAAATGGCTTCTTTCATGTATATTAATAAAGGATCTATTGTTAGGTCATTCTTGATTGTTTCCATTATTATTCATAGAACCATAAAATCGTGTTAAATTATAATAGAAAAGAGTAATATTTCCCATACAGTAAATATGACCATTTGTATGACCATATTTACGTACAGATTTGGAAATATGGCCACTTTCACTTTTTTTATAAAAATATAAAATTGCTTTTAAGTTACATGCATTTGCCATTCTTTTATACTAAAATATGAAACTTAGATAAATACTCTGTAAAAGTAAATAGTAATGATGGACCTCGCATACAAACTGACCGAAAACTACGACTTCAAACCTTAAGGTGGCCATATTAGACCCAGGTACCTTAGATACGATAATCTTAACAAGTTCTATCATTCTTATCTTGTGTGGTAATTAAGCACCAAAAATAACATATATCTTTAATTACATACGTAGCCAGCTTGAGTTTAGTTCTATCATTAGGGATGCTCTGTGAATGATCAGGGCGCGTTCCCATTATGTCGTGACAAGAGCTAGAACGACAGTCGACGTGCGTTGTATAAAACGCTACGTTAAAAATGTTCCGAGAGATAATCGCAGCTTCAAATTATATCGTGCAAACGAAAAGGCGGCTGCCGTGAACCGATAAATTGTCGTCACGATCTAGTGGGAATAGCTAGACACGACAGTCGTTCCACGCTAAAATAAACGTCCACGACACAGTCGCGACAGATAGTCGCGATATGGAAACAGACTACACGCGACAGTTGTCCTACGATAAATAAAACGTTACGACATAATGGGAACACGCCCTTAGTCTGGTAAATAAAAATTCGTTGTATCGTGTCATCAGTTTAGTACCTATAGATACCCTTTAGGGGTCAATTTAGAGGATATGCGTTAAGAGCTCGTTAGGAAAACACGTTCAGAACGCGCGTCTACCGCTTAAAAAATCTTGTTAATGACTTACCAAGATATTTAAAAGGCAAAATTCAAAAATCAAAAGTCGTTGACTGACATTAAGAACTTAACACGACGTAAAAAGAGCTTGACGGACTAAAAAGTCATCAAACTTTGACTAGAAAATCCATAAACTGTGATAAACTTAGAGGATGGAAAAAATAAAGAAAATTAGTCTATGGTGATAAATGCTAATAAATACAAAAAAGTTATCTATGAAAGCAATCAAACGCACGCAAGTAATCGTAAAGCAAATCTATTATCGGGTTGAACTGTCCACAGGGAGGTTCTTTACAACACAAGTACCACGGCTCCGCCTGTAACAAGTTTATAAATTTTAAAACTCTACCGAAACAGAGCTGTAGAAATAAAACGCTATAAACTTTTTAGAAGGTGCATTTTTTTCTGCCCTATGTACAAAGGGTGACAGATAAAATAGTCAGGTTGCTAAGGAAGTTTTCCATAAAAACTGTTTTCATCCCCTTAACCAAAATAGGAAAAATGTTACGTTCACCAAAAGATCACCTTCCTTTACAAACACCGGGTCGAGGTCGTATATCGGTCAGACTAAACGAACAATTGTCGATCGTATGAAGGAACACATCCGAGCAGTAAAAAACAATGATGCACAGAAGTCGGCTATAGCACAACATCTGTGCATGGAATCCGGTCCTTAGTGCGTGCAGTAATAAAAACAAAAACACCTCGAGTTCAGTTTCGCGTGTGGATACAGTGAGTGTGGTTTGTGTGAAAAAAGTGAGTGACAACGGTAACGCCACAACAAATCGCGATGAGGGTAGTCGTCGACAGCGCAAGAGGGTAGACAGATATGTCTGCTCTTAAAGCTGTCATCTGCCGCCGTCCAGTCAAACCGTGATCATGGACCGTGCAACCGTTCGGAAATATCGGGAAAATAAAAAGAAGTAATACCGTGGTAAGAAACCTGATATTAGTGATAATCATTTAGTGAATAACCACGAAAGTCTTAAAATCTATATATACATACAAACGTGATCGACAAACGCGTTCGAAACTCGTTTGTTTCGCTTTATAGGCGCGTTTGAATCGATACAAACGGACTCAAACATCGCGTTTCAAAGACAAGGAAAAGGGGGGGCGCTCGCTTACGCCACTATTATTGCCTGTTAGACTTGTGCCTGCTCGGTCCTTAGAGGGAGCGATCCTAGTTAGTTCAATAGGTCAACTGAACTAAGTCGGTCTTCTAGTTCGTTTAATTCATCTAGTTCCTTAGTTAGTTCATCGAGTTCGTGTTGTCCTTGCTCGGACATTGAACGAACGACCTGAAGTAGTTCTTTTATTCACATGAACTATTACGGACTTCTAGTATTATAAGGTCAATAGTACACTGTACTAAATATTTAAAAATACAATTTGTATGGAATCGGCACTATTTGGTTTACCTTCATATTTTACAGGTTTAAGACTGTCATTCTAACTAAATATCCTTTTTTTACAAAACAAGAATTTTAGTTAGAATGGTATGTTTAAAACTCCACATTTAGATACAACTATTTCATATACTCGGACACGTAGGTTGATATTATACATACAGATACTTACCACACCTACCAAAAATGAGAGCACTTACTTTTTTGCAAGCTTGTATATATTCATGACGTAGATACATATTACAGACTTACAACGATCTGGCAACGTTCAATCGTGCATCCCACTCGAACTTGTAGTAAAAGTAGTGAAAGATCGCTATTTGTCCCGCTCCCACCGTTCCTACTGAATAAAAGACAGGTGAACTATCATCGCAGACAGTTCCTACTTCATACTGAACTTAAAAGGAACGATGAACTATTAAAACCGTGCAAGACGAACTAGTTCATGTCGGTCAGTGTCGAGAATATATTCCTAATAGTTCGTAGTTCATGAACTATTCAAGCCTGTCTTAGTGCACAGTATGTTTGCACACGGCATATTTCCGATTGAATCACGTTTAATAGCCTTAACTATGATCGCGTTAACGCGCGTCATGTGCGCTTAAAATATACGCCTTGTACATAGCCCTAACGAATACAAAAAAATACAATATTAATTATAACTTTATTGTTCTTAAATTAAACCTCAAAGCAGTTAGCGGCCCCATGTTCAAAACAAGCAAGTTTGTTATACGATTTGTCACAGATAAAACACATCTCAAGACCAAACTCGTTATCTATCGACCAACATATTGTTGGTTAAGTTCAAAACTTTGTGTTGGCAAAAATTATGGTGACACGCCATATCGCCAAAGGTGTTGTAGGGGTTGTTAAAGTATTGGTTAACCAACATATTCACCGGTAATGAGAATGTCAGCCGATATATCATCCGACATGTTTGACGTTTAATGCCCTTATGGCGGTTCTCATGTCGGATAAGTTAAACATTCTTTATGAACATGTTGGTACGTTGCGCCGATGCAAAACTCATAGTCTTTTTCGCTCTTATTGCGAGGATATAAGCGTAGTAACGCCCTTGTTCATCCCGTCACTTCATATCATGTTCACAATGAATGTCTAAGTTAGCCGATGTCAACCGACAAATCGACATATACAGTGGTGGTCATATAATTAGAAACGAAACACTCCGATCTTGACTTCTATTGTCATTACAACGGGAAAAGGACATAACAATTTTGTAGACTTGAATATCTCACAGGACATTGGCGAAATCGCCATTTTTTTGTATAATTTTTATAATAATACTAAACTACCGTACATAGTTATTTTTACTTGACATTGGCAACATCATTGATTATTTCGAAGGGGCCATAACATTTAAAAGAATAAGAAGAAGAACAATTTTGTATTTCAATAAATCACAGAATAATTGACATTCAAGTTTAAATTTATTCCAGGTGCAGAACACATGATGCATTTCAGAATGGAATTCGATCACGTTCATATGACCACCGTGAGCACGTTTGCAGCGGTCACGCAGCTGGTCAAACAATCGATCTATTAAAGAGGAAGGTCGATAATCGTGTAATCTCGTGAAATATTCCGATCGAATGGCTCATGCGCTCCTCGCCTCGCTCACGCGGTCTAACGCCGTTGGGCTATTGTTTATGGGGTTATGCGAATAAGCTGACAACATCAAAAGGGTTCAGGAACAATATCAAACGCGAAATTGTCAACGTTTAGGCCGATATGTGTGGAAGAGTGGTGGAAAATTGCCTCCTAAGAATTGAACGCTGCAAACGTGCTCGCGGTGATCATATGAACGAGATCAAATTCCATTCTTAAATGTAACATGCGTACTGCACCTTTAAGCTCGATATTTCAATTATTCTGGGATTGGGTATTGAAATACAAAATTGTGTCCCTATTGAAAACCCCGATATTAGCTCTACATTCTAGATTAAGTCCTTAAATTCTATCTCAAACATATTCCACTGAATGTAAACTGTTTTGTGTACATCCAATAAAAGAAAATAAAAACGAAATTCCTTATTTTTGCTCAAAGGTCATATAATATTTGTTTATTTGTTAAATATCTCTTAAATGAAAACTTTATTGCAGATTTAGAAAACAGTTCACCTTATTTTTTTAGAAAGACACAAAGGCTTTTTTTATCGCTCGATATTGTAACTTTTATAAATTGGAAATGAAACTATTTTTTCGACTAACTTAGTTGTAACTATGGATCTGTAAAGAGCACGAGACGTCGCTTTGTGTGAAAAACAAATATATGCTATTTTAGATTTGAAATAATACTTTCAACGTGTAGCAGATTGGATAACTTTTGTAAGTTTAAATGTACAAACTCAATCGTAATTGTGTTACCTAGTAGGTATTAGGCCTGTTCCACTGGCATCAGTCCCTTCTTCTTAAACTGGCCCATTTAATATCGAGATCTATCTCCCCCTTTCCATCCACATATACAAAAAAGATATAAAAGTAGAATACCGACCTAGAGTTCTTTTGATAGAGTCGACAGTATAATAATTCAGAGCATTCAGAGCATTGTATTCAACATGACACCCCTAATCGGATACATAGGTTTGTCATCTATGACAATGTCTCTGGAAATCTGTAACACAAATTTATTTCTTATTTTTCATTCAAGTCACGTATTCTACTTTCGCTCACACAAGTAGTGCGAGAAAGAAAAACAAATGCGTTTGGCGTCAAATTGTTCACCGCTGAGAATTTCATTCAATCTAAAAATTGACCCTCTGCAGGATGCAGTAATCTGGAGCTGTGATTTATTTATAGGTCAAGTTGATTAGATGAATATCCGAGGAATGAGAATTATGTATGAGCCATCGAAAATTAAAGTACGTAGAAATAACCCAGTCACAGCCAAAATCATACTGCATGGGGATGCTTTAAAATAAATTAAAAATTAAAATTAAAAAAAATAAAACTTAAAATTAAAAAAAAATAAAACTTAAAATTAAAAAATAAAACAGTGGCAAACAGTAGCACGTATACTGTTATTACCTTTTAATAAGAAATTGATAAAATAGTGGAACCTATTACGTGATTATACGTACGATATCATGTTGAATTCAACGCCAGATCATCATACCAATGACCAGGCCTCAAACTATGGAATCCTTGTCTACCAGAGTAACGGAATTCACTCCTGGGCAATTCCGAGAACACGCAACGCGAAACCAATTTAACGAACAATGTTACCCTTCCAAACTGAAAGCAGTAAAGCCGCTTCTACCAACTGACCCGCCATTTCGAAACTCGAAAGGCGGCAATCTGCTAAGAGTAAAATGAATCCCCGTGTGCCTGAATGAAACTTTTTGCTCCGTCCGGCCATACCGACGACGCTGCTGTACCTGTCGCGACTACATTACTCCACGAATTCTGAGGAGATAATGGAGCTGATGTACTGCACTATCTTCTCAGACTTCGCGGAGTAATGTAGCTTCGCTAAACAGGGTGCTCAATTAAATTTCAATGAATCTTTCTTTATAAATTTTCAAAACTACAAACCAAATTGTTCACAGAACATCTTGCAAGTTTCCAAACCGAGAAATGGTTCTGTTTCATTATATACGAGCTTTGAAACATTTCTCGTCTAGACACAACCATTTCCACAGTGACTCGTTTTGAGACCAAACATTACAACAAATAATAATTTATATATGTAAGTTTCGTAACTATTTCGTATGAAGCAAGTATGAATTTCTAAAAATAACAACTTCCATTGTTAATGACATTATAGAAGATATAATGATTGAATAAATTTCTTTCACCTTCATGTTATCTCCAAAAAAATAAAAGTATTAAAATGCTTTATTATCTTTAATATTATGTTATTACATCTTCGGTGACATCCTATATCTTAATCATTTCACGAAAATTACCAGTTACAATAGTAGATTTTTTTTGGCAACACCTGATGTATCTGTCAAACGGCGTACTTTTGTTACTGAATTTGTTTTGGTGTTTATGATATTATTATTCACCACCACCATTATACAATAATTTGAATAAATCTGTACGTGCGGTTTAGTGGTAGTGTCATTACTTAATGTAATTTAATTTTTTTGTGTAAATTGCGCTTACAGAGCACTCTGTAAGCAAAAAACAGTTGTCAATGTCAAGCAAAACTGTCGTTTCGAATGAATTGATTACAAATTTAGAAAAGGAATCTTATTATAAAATACAAGTGCTACTTTATCTCTTCCAGGTGCTAGCTTACGGAAATTAAAATGGATCCAGCCTTGCTTAGAGAACGTGAAGCTTTCAAAAAGAAAGCGCTCGCGACGCCCAGGTATTATCTTTCATCTGTTCACTAAAAATATTTATTTTCAGCGTTGTTGATATCTTTCGAAAGAAAAATCTCTATTATTTTCTACAAATAGGTACTTGCCATAGATCAAAATCTGTGTTGAATGATTCCCATATTTACCATTGCCCCCTTTCTATTGACTTCCCTCTTCTAATCACTGTGTAGCTTAGGCTGTCATCTAATAACCCATATTATCGTACATACATGTATACCTTTCACTCCCTTTTCCCATTGAGGTAGGAAGAAACCACAGCCTTCCACTTGCTATAAACCTCATACACATTATTAGGTAATATCAAATTATAAGTATTTATTGTAAATAATTGAATATGTCATTGTGATGTATTTTCCACTTTATTGATCCTTGTTTCCAAAATTGTATCCCTTTTCATTGCAGACGTCTTTTTGCATGTACACACAAACACTATCAAATGCCAAATAAAAGAAAATAGTACCAAAATACACACTCAGGATTTTTAAGCAAATATCCATTGACTTACAAATAAATGGACGACGGATCTAATACAAAAACCACGAAAAAAATGTCCCAAGTCAACCTATTTAAACGTAGTGACATGTAAAGGAATATGAAAAAGCTAAAATGTTGAATTTAAATTGTAATGTCATCTCAGTACTGTCTAATTTTGCTTGCTTCGATGTCAGTAGAACAAACGAAGACTAAAGCGTGAATGACGCTCTGTATACGATTTTAACGCCCTATAAGATCGGACACATTTTAGCGCGGACCCGACGTCCATATAATTGTAAGTCAATGCAAATATCTTATTAATTTATTTAAGATTATAGTCCATTGCATTTGTTTATACTTAACTAAATGTAAACAATCTTGATTCATCTTTTTATTGAAACATATGCTTTACAAATCAATAGGTATAAAAATAGGCTTGCAATTTCATATGAAGCTAAGTATTTATATTTTGTATTTAAATAAAATAAATGATTTTGTAATAAAAATCATTTTGTTAATGTGTATTTCACCCATTTGCACCCGCCGTGCCCAATCGAGGACACTACTTTGAGTACCTGTATTTTTTTTATATTACTATTAATACTCATTACAAAAGTGTATATGTAAAGTAAAATAGTGAATCTTGATTTTATTACTTAAAAAAATTGTTTAGAATTAAGTAAAAGTGGGTTTACTGTTCCTTTTGCGGGGTTAATTTACGCACATGTGAAACACTAAAGTTAGTTGTTTTTCGTGTATGTTATTACCAACAATTTGTTTATTTTTTACATGTATTGTTGAAATATATTCATATACTATAAAATAAAAATTATATAATTGAATTAAATAGTGTTTTATCAACTTCAAAGGTGGTATATAACGGTGTCTCCAATTGGGGCCATTGGGCGCACATGGGGTAGTTTATTCGTTTTTCATCTATAAGTAATTTTCAACGAAATAATGACACAACGGGTATTTGGCACCCAAATTATTACTATGGGCTTCAGAAAGCTATTAAAGCTGTAATGGATGAGAAAGACCATGATGTGGAGATAGATTTAGGGGGCATTTCCCCTAGATCCGAATGCGCTCACCGATGTACAAGTACTATTCTTATGTAACGAGATCTAATAGTCTACGGCAAACTGGTTATCGAACAACTGAAACTGTCTGCAAAGGTAAAACTAAGAAATATTTACTAGTACCAGATTTGTAATACACATGAAGCCAATTTTGACTATCGATTTTACCCAATCAACCAAATTCTGTTCGTTCTATGGCTTGACAATAGTATTTGCATGATGAGTTCTGATTATAATAATGTGATTTCCGTGGTGAAAATAAAAAGATGAAGCGCTGTGAATAAACAGAAAGTTGACGTGGGTATCCCGCGTGATTTCAAACGTACCAACAGGATAAATCAAGCTGACCAATCTTTTTGTATCACATTCAAGGCAAAAATTAGTGGTGTGTTTTGCTCCGCTACAGTCTGGACCTAGCACTAGCTAATACACGGCGTTTACAACTCCTGACCAATGATACGAAGCTACAGCAGTTTAACGGTTACATCACGTCACTATTCGAGACACAAATACAAAGTTTACATCCAGCAGTTTCTTTGGTGCCAAATCTACAGTACATTGGTGTTGATCACTACGCTCAGAAGTTGGCTTAACAGTTACGATGTGCAAATAGCTGTTGAGCCACAAATAAGCGCGTTGGCAATATAAAAAGTGCATCAAGCCATTGTGCACGGGCAAATATTGTTACAAATTTTTTCACACCGCTTGAGCCCATTGTCCCCATTTGAGGACGGCATTTTTTTCATATAAAATAAAATAAAATCTTTTTTTCTTCGTAATTTTCTCATAAATAGGCTATTTTCTAAAGGTTGATAAAAAAAATTTACTTTTACGCGAATTTGCATTTGGGCGTTAATGGGTTAAATAGACATCTCAAGGTTGTTTACATTTAATTAGGTACCTAAACAAATGTACTTTAGACTTATTTTATAATAGTATACTAATTATTATACATGGACATTGTTCATAAGTAGTAACTGTAATATTCATGCAATATTACAGTACAGAAGGCTAAAAATTCAACTGATACACTACATATAATGTATCAGTTGTAGTATTGTAGTAGTATCAACTCATACACCTATGAACTCATGCAATCTTAACAATTCTTGTGCAGGTAGGACTCCTATTATTATTAGTAAAATAGATTATCATATTATTATAACCATTTATAGGACCAAAATATCACATACACTGAATAATAATATTATCTGCAAACAGTATAGAAAAGAAGAAGAAAGATGACTCTCAATTTAAAGATGACAACAAGAAGAAATCCAAGTCCATCAGCTCTACCAGTTCAGCACCCAAACTTGATGCCTCCACGTGAGTACAAAGTACTACTAGTTTTGATCACCATCTCAGTCCACTGCTGGACATAGGCTATATTGATTGAATATGATAAAAACCAAGAATTACTTAGTTATTGGACCACCACTCCCAATACTTTTCAGCCACTTCAATAAAAAGGCCTTGCTAAGCTTGCCCATTCAAAATAAACACTTCAACATCAAATCACACAACTAGCCTGTTCAACCAATAAAATTAAATTTTTAACATTTACATTTTATTTCTTCGATTAAAAAAATTGTACGAACAAAAGAGAAATGCATTAATTTTCCTAAAGTATAAAGATATACAAATCTCTCTTTTCAGTTATAAAACAATGTCAGGTAGCTCTTCATACCGGTTTGGTGTCCTAGCTCGTATTGTACGACACATGAGGGCACGACATCAGGATGGCGATGACCATCCACTCACTATTGACGAGATGCTGGATGAGACCAATCAGCTTGATGTTGGGAATAAAGTTAAACAAGTGCGTTGGAACATCATATCACATCAAAATATTTCACTTAAATTTCCAGTTGGATTATGATCTTTTTAAAAATTTGCTTTAGCTGCTTAGTATGGTTCACTTGCACATGATTATTATAGGAGTAAATTAGTCCCAATATACCTTTCACTAACGCCAACAACAGGACAAAATATCTCCAAGCAACAGAGGATGCTAAGATTCCTGTAGGAGCACTGGTGGCACGTGTAGGTTTTAGCATTCGCAGATGTCATCGAGTTGCATACTCCAGCCTGTTACACCATATCATATCTCTTTCACCGTGTTACAGCCTAGACCAGCTTTTTAATGATTTTCGAATTTTCTCGTTTCAGTGGCTACAAACAGAGGCATTACAGAGCAATCCTAAAATAGAATGTACTCCAGATGGAAAATATATATTTAAGCCTGTATATAAAATTAAGGATAGGAAATCTTTGCTCAGGTAACACATAATATACACACACATATTTTGTTACATCGCTTTTATGAGCTCAACATTTATCACATATTATAATATGTGTATTGAATTCTGGCTTCTTACATTGGTGCCGGTTCTGCCTATTTATGGTCGTATTTATGAATTCTTAGTACACTCAGTTATTTATAGTCAACATATGGCATTGTTTACAGATTATTAAAACAACAAGATCTCAAAGGACTAGGAGGGATCCTTCTAGAAGATGTACAGGAATCTCTACCTCACTGTGAGAAGGCACTAAAAAATTTGGCTCAAGAGATTCTGTACATTACCAGGCCTACAGATAAGAAGAAAATATTATTTTACAATGATAAAACTGCCACATTAGATGTAAGTAGAATATTCACTTTGTCGTAAACAGGCTACGAAAAATCTTCCAGGAATCTTCCACCGAAAGTAAAGTTGCAACTGACAGTTGTATAAGTAAATTACCGATTACTTAAAAGCGATCAACAGCGAAAAAGTGAAAAACAGGGTTGTAATGTGCCCTTTAAAAACATATTGTTTTTAATTAGTCCTGTAACGCTCGGATGTCAATATCAGCAGGAGGTGTCGCCTAGTGGTGAGAGGCAAGACCTCACATAGGAGTACAGAGTGTTACCCTCTTCGCCAACGGGTTGATCTGAGAGATAATCACATTCCAACAAATAATGTGAACCCCTTCCATTTGCCTTATACAAAATAAGAAGCAATGAACACGTCATACTCACTTGACATATACTACATATAACACCACTGTACAGCATATGTGCATTCTGTAAATAAAATATGTGCTATTATTTATTTTTACCATTAAATATCATATTTTTACTACCTACTATAACATCTATATATTTTTTGTAAAAATACTCGACGGATTTGATAACCGACTTCAAAAAAGGGGTATGTTACGCGATCACTCCGACATTTATGAAACGATTTTGACGATTCTTTTCTTGTTGGAAAGAGGGTACCTCAGTATTGGTCCCATTTCAATTTAAAGAAAATATTGACACTGGTTTTTTTTTTAAAAAAAAGGTAAAATTGTTGTTATTGATTTAAAGATCGTTTTTTAAAATATATAATGTCATAGCAAAGATCGAACAAAGACAAAGAAAAATCGAATGCGATCCAGCTGGGCTACTGGAACTGCTGGAACACTGGCAGCCTGTTGAGGCAAGACACTGATTCGTGCCCAAACGGATAGAATGAATTTGTCTTTACGTTTGTTAGATCTTGGTATTATTAATAATAAAATATTTGTTTATTGTTGAAATCGCAAAATATAAATATACTGATTTTAAGGTCGATGAAGAATTCGTGAAACTATGGCGAGCGACAGCAGTGGACGCGATGGATGACGCCAAAATCGAGGAATATCTAGAGAAGCAAGGCATTAAATCTATGCAGGACCATGGCCCTAGGAAGCCGATAGTGCCTAAGCGAAAGAAAGTATCACAAAAGAGACGTCAGTTCAAGAAGCCCAGAGACAATGAACATTTGGCCGATGTGCTCGAGACTTATGAAGATAACACGTTGACTCAGAAGGGAGTGGCCATCAAATAAAGAGTTGTAAACTAATCAAAATTTGTATATTATTTAAACTATTGATTGTAAACACAAAGTTAAATGGCGGACAAACAGTGTTGGGGACTTCACATATATATATATAATGTCTGTGGTTGTGAGCCTTCTTTGATACGCAAGTTTCATCACCTTGTTTTCTCTTACCGTTTCAAGAACAATATAAAATGTACGTAACTTTGGTATTAAATTTATAGGTACGTACTTTGGATGAGAACCGTCGAATTCTGTATTGAGAAGTGGAAACACCTAAGGGTTGTGAAAAACAAATGAAATTGTACCGAACTAAGGCTAACTGTAAGGCTGATTTATATTTAATAGATATTAAAGAATTTACTTACATGATTACACATGGCGCCGCGACGGCGGCAGCGTTTCTTGCCACCGTGGGTCCGCAAGAATTGCGACGTCATACCGCAGCACCAGGGGTGCGACTGCAGCCCATGCTGCGTGATCAACTGAAATCGTGCCCTCGCGTCCGCCGCGGCAGTTTCAAGTAACGCCGCCGCCGCGGTGCGTGTATGAAAGTGTGTAAACAAATGCAAGGGCAACTACAACTGCGGCAGCGGTACCGCTGACAGCTAGCAGCTAGCGTAAGAACAGTGTTACGGCGGTGCCGTGTGTAATGAACTAATTAGCTCAATACTAAGCTGCGGTAAATGTCAAAAAGTGTAAAATATGATAAAATTTGTAAAAGTTACTAAAAAATAAACAGAATATACTAACAAAATTAATCATAATTAGCAAATAATCAAGAGCGTGTTTAAATCACAATTCTACGAAAAACTGAACTTCGGAACTTCCGAAATAAATACTAACTTACCAATATTATGACTCATATTAATTTATTTTAGTTTAATTGCTTTCTAATTTATAATAGGTGATTTACAATAAAAAATTCTAATGATAGTTTTCGGTAAAATGTTAATTAATTCGGTAGAGTAATATTATGTCAGTAAGATATTTTGAAACTTTCAGTCGTTTCTTATTTTTTAACCGACTTCAAAAAAAGGAGGTTTTAAATTAGTCTGTTTTTTTGTGTGTATGTTACGCGATAACTCCGGTATTTGTGAACCGATTTTCATGATTCTTTTTTTGTTGGAAACTTCTATAGTGGAGAAGAAAATCATCCACCTCTAAGGGTGGCTGTTCACGCATGAACATTCATTTTTATACATATCGCCTAAATTTTACTTAAGGATCAATTATTTTTATGGTTGGTTTTGCTATTCTCCAATTCAAGGCGTTTTTCGTTCACAATATATTTTGAGTAGCGAGAACCGATTTTTATTATCTCTTGTGTCAAGTCCTGTGTAGTGGCGAACTAGGGGTTATTTCAATAAAACTTGGCAAATAGATGTAATTCCACGTACTTTTGAGGTCGGTTTTTTTAGTACTCTATACTGAGATTATATTTGCACAATAGTCTTCGGTAGCGCAGTAATGAACGCAGTAAAATATTTTTCGGTAAATTATAAGGTGGTAGATTAGTATTACGTCTGCAAAATTTTTTGGAACCTTTTGCTTTCGTTCGGTTGTTTTCTTATTGTTATTTGAAGTTTTCATGAAGAATATTCATGATTTTAATAAGCTCATTTTCCAATTACTTTACGAAACTTTTATTACTACCTATTTCATAAATTGCAGCTTATCAATGCAAAACAAATGGAAAAAACTAAATAACTATTTGATACTCGTAGCGACATCTGGTGTACGAATAGATACTAAATACCCGACTACACTGTTTTGTATCGTGATCAGAAGTTCTTTCGAGTTATTGGTCCGTGATCAAACTAAACACATTAATAATAATAATACAATAAACTTTATTCAGCATCAGTGGAATCATCATTCTTAGATTTCTTCACAACGGTTGGTTCTATTTTGTCCTCGCATCTTTCTCTCTTTTTGGACACACAGTTTATTTCGGCATCGTTGAGTGTCGAGAACACTGCTTTGTCGCGCACCTTTTTTAGTATCTTTTGGTCGTGAAATGCGTGATTGTGTGCTCCGTATCTGAAGTTAAAAACATTAAAAACAAATGGTTGGCATTTCTCCTTATCGTATCGCTGGCACTATAATGCTTGCTATCGTAGTGAAGGGATTTGCTAAAGGGTATGCGCCAGATGTACAGGAAAGGAATGTATGTCGTGCAGGGAGACTTTTCATGCACCCTACTGGTTTGCACTGTGGGCGCTAGATAAGGAAATTCACGTGTTCGATTCCCTGTAGAATCAATTTGGGTAATTAATATTTCTAAAGTAATTAGGTTTTATTGAAACTTCACCACAAAGATCGAACACTCAGAAAAAATTCACTTCGCTCTGGCTGGATTTGAACCAACGCCTGCTAGCAAACCGAGCCAGACGCTATGCCAATGCAGCCACAGAATGAACCAACGGACCTCACGAATTTTTCCATGTGCTTGTTGCAGATCTTTGTTGCCATAGTAGCGCTATCTGTGAGTAATCCATGAAAGTTTTTCTTTACTTTGAAGCTTACACTACACATTTCTAAATTGGTGCCGGTCTGGTGTTCCGGGCAATGCCCCAGAGTGAGTCCCCATGCACTGGTACTCATAGTACATTGGATTCTCCGATTTGAAACCAGGCATTATTACGACCCAACTCAAATTCGGTCAGTCTGGTGAAACGGATTAAAACTACACATAAGGCTCAACTCACACTGGTGCAGACGTGCTTCGCATCCTGTTTTTCGACTACAAAGCCTGGTGACGCGCGTCGACGCGTGACTCCATATTTGCATAGCAAAAATTTATATCTGATTAATAGGAAAATAGAGATGAATGTGCTATAGCCGAAAAACATGACGCGTCGCGACGCTTCGACTCTGTGCCAGTGTGAGTTGAGCCCAAGACGCGTCGCGACGCTTCGAATCTGCGCCAGTATGAGTTGAGCCCAAGGTGGATCGCAGTGTTGATAAAAAATCGCGTTTCACATTTCAAAACGACCCTTTTTTTTCTAATCATGTTTAACCCATTATAAGTCCCACTGCTGGTCACGGGTCTCCTCAGATTAGGGAGTTTTTCGTTCCGTAGCTTAGTTGGCTTAACTTGCTAGAAGACGTCGTTTCGAATCCGGGCCGGATCGATCTTTGTTATTAACAATTATAACAAACTAGCGGAGCAATTTCCCAAAAAATAATTGAATATTATGATTGTAAAACATCGTGTCACTCAATAAAAACTTGAAAAACTGTATTTACCGTTTAACAACAACGTCGTCCTGGGTAATAACGCCGGCGGGACATTTGGTGAGCTCCTTCGTATAATTGATGCAGCGCCAAGCGCGATGGCCGCTCGCCCCCTTGCGGCTCGTGTATCGTAGGTAGTACATGTATCGATTGAGAATCATCTGCAGAGCGCCTTGATTTGTCACTGTGTATTGGATTTGTGTAGCTAAAACAAAGTTCTTGAGTGACACACAGGTTCGGAGAATGATTGTCTGCCTTACAACAGTAGAGCTCCTTGTGAACGAGTTTGTCCGAGGAAGAACTTAAGTTAACTGCCTCCGTGGACGAACGGTTACCATGGTATTCCGGGAGAAATATTAGTATGGTCTACATTTAGTTTTGAGTCTTGAGTTGAGTGTAATTTGTCACCCGCGACACAGGGTTTCCCTAGTGCAGGACTATGAGTGTGATTGTTTAAAAAAACTGCCACTGTAACTATTTCTTCCACTAAGCAGTAATGTATGCATTACTGCTTTTCGGTTTTGAAGGATGCTGGTGAAACTACAGACACATGTGAGTTGTCAATTTATGTTTCCGATTATTCGGTGCAGTGAAAGTACCCAACCCTTTAAAATATATCTCGTATATAAAAAAAAATAGTTTGATTACGGACAGCAGCGGTATTCTGTAATCGTGGAAACTCGCTGTTCGATATTCGTTATGCGGTTTTACCGACGGTATAGATTTTGTCGGCAAATGCTATTCTGTACACTACTTTAACCGATCATAACGACAATTCAGTTCAATACGTTCGTTAAGTGTCGTTAAGATCCTATATTTTTATCGGCTCTTCGAGGGCACCCTTTTTATGTCGGTATGCTTAACGACGCGCTTTCTGCTTACATTTCACTGTTAGATATTTGTGTTTTGATCGCATTAAGTGGAAAAAATTCACTTTTTGCCTTAAGGTAAGCCAAAATGTTTCGTAATTGAAAGGGACTTCTTCTTGGCTGTGTCTTGTAATCACTTGTTTATGTCATGATGCCGCGATTGTAGAGGTTGAGGTGAGCGACGTTTCCCAAATAAATTCCACCTCATCAGATATTTACCTTAGAGGATGGAAAAAAATAAAGTAAATATTTACAGAACTCCAATTTGCTTACTTGTCGTGATGTATTATTTTATCTGTCATTTTGCAAAAGTGTTTAGAAAAAATAAACACAAACAGTACGTTTCCCTTAAATGTAACAAACTTTGCACAAACTTTATGTTTGTAAATGACTATTTGAACGCTCGATCGTGATTGGTCGAGAAACGTAGTCTCCTTTCGGAATGTTCCCATTTCGTATATTTTTCGATCATGAAACGCTGACGTCACATCGCTGTCGGTACGCGTCGGTTTCGTTATCGTGGGTTTACAGAATAGCATAATCGGTAAGTTGTCGATACGGCAAACGACGACTTTCGCTATCAGAGTCATAACGAATCATATCGATAGCGATTACAGAATACCGCTCCATAGGGACCTGTATCATTCATATGCAATAATGATCTTATATACGTTTGACTAAATGCGAAGGCCAAGCCATTAATAATAAAAAATGGCAGATGTTACTAGCATCCGTATTTTGAAGATTCGAATATCAGACAACTGTACGATCTTGAAATCAGTCTGCGTCGAGCAAAGATACGAATTTGACATTTCGTCTGCTTAAAAGTAAAATCCCATAAGTGACATTTTCCACAAAAAATCTCCAAATTATGTACCAGTTGTAAGGAATTCACCATCTTTCTTCAGATAAAACTATTATTAAGTTTGTTATAATTATTAATACAAAGATCGAACACTCAGAAAAAATTCCGTCGAGCTGGCCGGATTCGAACCGACGTCTTCTAGCATACCGTGGCAGACGTTATACCAACTAAGCCAAGGAACGGACCAGTGGAACTCACGAATTTTTCTGTGCTTGTTGTCGTGTCTTTGTATTTGGTTTTTCAACTACTTTTTAGTCGTAGTGCCATCTATGAGAAATCTATAAAAGTTTTAGATAGTTTAGAATTTTAAATATTATCAAGTTTATAGCTTTTTTGTCATTGAGCTTCACGTGCAGAAA